ATATAAATAATACTTTAATTATGTTGATCAATACGAAATATTAAATGTATAACTTTACATAATATTTCTATTATTCATCTTACAATACATTGGAATTGTTGGATAGAATACTTCAAGTGTAATTTATAAGTTATATTGTATGTTTACATTAATGCTGACTAATGTCCTATTCTGTCATACTTACATTTGCCATGGAGCAAGGTGGTCGTGCAGCAGCATATCTACCAAATGAGCTGCGAGTAGCAGATGTAGGATATTGAATTCCATTTAAGCTGAAAGTAATAAATGTCCTTACATTGAAACTGTTTAGGAATATGACATGATTAATGTACTATTGTTACATTTATTAATAATTGTGAGTAATAAAACAATTGAAGTCTTGGATATTAAATATTTATTCGAATCATAATATATTAAATATGATATAATGTTTCGTCTTGTTAATACCTTCTTAGTTTTAGTAGAATAAGGTTGTCTAAATATTGTATTAAAATCTATAGAGGATTAATTATTTTATCATTTAATATATATTTTGAAAGTTAAATGTACAAAACTATTACTACTTTGATATGATCTATTAAAATAAAACAAATAACATTACAAAATATATTTAACTGTGTTTCATATTCCTCTGCATAAAAAAACTGTTTTATTGATTATTCATTACGATGTGTATAAGTACATAGAAAAATTTAAGATGTCTCCAAACGCTTTAGAATTATAAATCGAATATCAATAATAAGAGAAATGTATAATTATAACGTGAATTTTTGCGTATATATAATTATCGAAATATTAAACATCTCAGAAAATATATCATTCTTTGTATAAATATACATTTTTTTTATAATATACATACCTGGAATTACTTTTTCCAACATTGTTATGAATGTTATTTTGTCCAGCAATATCAATGTTAGCAGGAAGGCTGTATCTATTTGTTCGCACATCTTGACGTTCTACAATATAAAAAGAACAAATTATACATTTTATCCGAAGCCATAATTATTATCTACATAGTTCCTTCAACGCATCAACTTTCAAAACCAGAAAATTGGAGCGAATCATTTATAATTAAAAGAACGTTTACCGTTAAAGGATAGCTTTAAATCGACCAGACGTCTCGCATAATAGAATGATTGATTGAGCAGAGGATGACACTGACCGCAATTTTATACGTATTCGATAAAAATGAGCGATTTAGGGTGTTGAAGGACAGATTATAAGACAAATGTGATCAACCTTCGTCCCACCATTCCCGTACCTTTAGCATAAAACCAGATCAACAACGAGTTCATGGTCAACCTTGCATTGTACATTTATGGAGGTATCTTGAAAACGTGACAAGTTCGATTTATACGATCCTAGTACCATTATAAATTATACGAAAAATTCTCTCGAAACCAATTGTCAGATGAAAATCAATTTTTAAAAAATCAAGCATGAGTTTTGTAGAAATTTTATTATGCGCGCGAATATTACATATGTAGTTATGTATCTGTATTTTTATTTTCATCCACAAAGGAAAAAAAAATATCAATGAAATACCTTCCTTTTATTCAAACTGTTTCAATTTTATTTTAAGTTTAAAGCGAAAAGCTGGTATAAGAAGTAATAGTAATAGTAATAGTAAAGAATACTACTATTCCTTTAAAAATATTTAATTGGTTTCTATTATTATCTTTATTAACGTGTATTATTATATGCAAAATATATTGATAAAATATTTATAAATAATATATTTATATTAAAAATGGTGTCCCATTTAAGGTTGAATACCCATCTAAACGAATCAATGAATTCAAAAAGAATTTACCTCCTTTTCGACACTGTAATTAAAAAGATATCTAAAATTGAAAGTACAGATACGTACCATCTTGAAAGAATCCTTGAAAGACAACGAATTTGTTATTTTGCGGGATTATTTTCGAGAGGCCATAGTATTTATCCAGGAAGGCTAAGAACTTCTCTGAAGGTCTATCGATCGCTAATTTCACTGGCCTTATGTTCTCCTCCTGGAAGTTAGAGGCGATATTAACTATTAATTACCAATAATGTAAAAATGTAATCTACACACGTTTATACCAATCCATTTATCAATAGGGTAATTCCGAATAAGATGGCCCGGCCTCATTTAAGTGATCAAATATTTATATTTTCACTTGTTTTTAGTGGTATACTGAATCTTGCACAGAAACCTATTTAACTATTCTTCGTATATGCAATTTACTTTCATAAATAGGTCATAAGTAGCCCATCTCTCCCCGACCCACACAATAATATAAATGTAACTTTAGCTAAAAATAATATAAATGTAACTTTAGTAAAATAATTGAAATTATCTATATAAGTTATCTATCTTCCTCTGACCAATTCCAGGATAATCATTACTGAAGTAAAATAGATACTTGACTTCCTAAAATATAAGCGAATGACTTTCTGGCGCACCTAGTACCGCTTTAGTCCAAGAAGGAGAAACGAACGTACCGAGGCGAAACAAATAGTTTGAACGAGTTCAGTCACCTTTCGGGTTACCTTCGCCTGTAACACCCACGCGTAACGATCTTTTGTCACGCTCCTATTTAAGATCGTACGCTAATTTGCCACCACAGGTTTGTTCGTTGCTCTTTCTTATCGACAAAAGGGTCAGGGAACTGTATAAGAAGATCATATTAATCAACTGTACTAGAAGATTACTTGATGGCTAGTCTGAAGATGGCGAGGCTGATCGTTCAGTTCTCATCTTTTCTCGCCAAATTTTCTGCTAGTTTCATTTTCTGATTCCTGATATATTCAATCCCTAATGTTCCATTCGTCAATACGATTACATGTAATCAATCGAAACTGTCGCCAATTAGGGGATGTAGGAAACAATTTTTTTAATAAACTGTTCGCCTCGAAATGGACAATTTAGATTTCTTTTATAGATTCCGTAGTTTCAGAGATATTATAAAAAATGTACTTTCAACCCTGAACTTTTAGAGGGGTCTTCATCCTTTGGAAGTGGATGTTGAGAGATAAGAAAAAATACGTGTTAAATATTTCCTTGAGAACTATATCTCATATAAGATTCACCAAAATCGACGTGTGCTTGTTGAAAGGGTCCCCTTCTTGTTAGCCGGAAAGATCGATCGCGCACGAATAAAGTGGATCTAGTGTGAGAAGAATTCCGTGGAGCGAGGAAAAGGTTGGCAGAAAACAGGTATTCGTAGCCGTAGTTCGTATTCCAGATTACTTTTTGCCCCGTTTTGTCATGGTCGGTGCACTTGTCAGAATCACAGCGAGCGCTGTTGGCTCAGCGACACGTGAATTCGCCTTGTGGTCTCACGCACGGTGCTCGACTATCAGGATTGCCGGCCTCTACGGTACTTTCTCGTAATTAATGCGTGTTAGCTGCGCTCTCCGCGATGTACAAGTATTATACAGGTAGAAGCTGGCATCAGCGTACTCGTTTCCCGACGAAACACCTGTCGAAACATTCGACCCGATGTAAATTACGGGGAACGATGAAAATCTTCGAGGACTGCGAAACTTCTGCTGTGTAACGTTCAAAAGTGATGGAGCAATGACGTGTTTTTCCAATATTGCTGTACCAAGTTATTGTCCTATGATTTATTTTTTAATCATGATCGATACAACTATTTTGTCCTTGATAATAAGAGAAAAAAGAAAAATTCTGGACGTACTCTATGTCCATGTTAATTAACAAAGAATAATAAAATAAAATTAACAAGTTTAATAAATATTACTCGATTCTTTTGAACTCAAATGAAATATTATTCTTCTGTTACTTTTATTTTAATTCAGTTTGAAATCTTTACTACGAGTCTGACACGTTATTATAAGGCAAGAAGTTAAACTGCTAATTTCAGACTTGAAAATTGAGACGTCGTAGTTGAGATACTAATAGCTTAATCGAAGTTTACTGTACGTTGCAGTGATTTCTCAATCTTTTTATAACCTCTTACAAATCATTATATATTATTCTCCTTATAAATTATGTTATAATTCATAATTTCGTTTGCCAGCGATACGACGACTTGCGAAATGAGAAATATTCGCATCTAGTTGGACAGAAATATGGTAAAAGTTTCGGTTTGCGCAAGATTCCCATGAAGGTAGTATAGATGGAGATCACGGGACGCCTTTCTGTTTTTACTCGGGAAGTAATTACACTTTGTTTGCGCTCCACACTTTCCAGATTCCCAACCTGCGTGGGCGGATAATAATTTCTTGTATAAGATGTGCACATTTCTTTACGATTCATAACACTGATCAACAAGACTTTTCTAAGAATTATATTCGATTTTATCAAAAATTGTTAAGGTTACCTAAAATAACTATTTCAAATTCCTCAATATTCCGTCAGAACAGAACTATTCTGTACACAGGTTTACGATTAACAAACGCTTATACTTAATAAATAAATTAATAATAATTGAAGGTTAAAACAGGTTATATTTTCTTTTGCTCATTGTTACAAAAATAAAAGAAAGCAAGGAACTCGTGTCGATGTGTTTAAAAGTAAATCTTTTGAGCATCTTATTGTAAGTAGAAGGAAAAGCAGATTACTTACGGACAGCATATGCTGATAAAGAATATTTCCAAGTCCCATGCGTTGCCGGGTCTCGTGGACGTAAAAATCTAAAATGCACCTAGGCTTCAGCTGGTAATGAGCCCCTGTCTCGTCGAACATGAAGAGATTCTTCGATCCAGTTTTCAACAGGCCGACCACGCTGCCCAGTCCGCTGTAAAACCGAAGCAAAGACGTAACATAATGCGGATGATGATTCACGGTTGCGGTCTACCGTTTGAGAATCCACGTTGCTCTAGATCAGCAATTTCCAAATTGGGAGGCGCGGACCAATGCAAAAGAGGTCACGAAATATTATTATTCCGTCAATTACGTTTTTACATTTTTTGTACTAATACATTTCTTACCATCTCAAAATGTGTTTGAGTGTTTGAAATATGGAAACCACTACTCTAGATAACAATGGTTATTCAGCACTACAAAATGGAAAAGAATGATATGTTTATTTGAGAATCAATAAATAATAGTATATGTAGTCTTCTTAAAATTAAGGACATATATGTAAGGTAAAATTATTTTTTATTTAATATTCTTTATAGGTAGAATATTGTTATAAGTAGAAGATCATGAAATTCGCTTTTATTAAGTAACTCTAATTTATTTTTCCAGCTGCATGTTCCACATTTTCTTGATTAACTAGTCATTTTTTTAAATTATTTTTTTCTAGACTTTTAAATATATAGAAATCATGTGGATAAGGTTCGTTGAACAGGACGAATAAGGAAGAACTTCACACCCTGATTCCCACGATTCTTTCAGAGGTTTACGATCGTGAGATATTAGTCATTATCGCGAAGTAAAATTAATTTTCAACTTATATTGTGCATTGTAATAACGCAACGCCGTCTAATATGAAACACTACGATATTTCAGAAAATAAATAACTTAATGAATTAGTTACCGTGGGAAACATTTTATTAGTAATGGAAAACAATCACGTCAGTAGTTGTGGTGAATATATTAACCCTTTGCACTCTAGAGACGACTCTCAATCGCCGTTTGATTCAACATAGCAAAATTATAAAATTAAAAATTCAATATTAAATGTCGAATAAGGTATTTATTAACACATGAAATATAAAAATAAGATAATTCTGTCCTTTAATTTATGCAAGATATACCTTTATGTAAGTTCCAAATAATATTGTTAATATTTCGTCACAAAATAATGAACGTTTACAATAGAAAACATTGTTGAGTGCAAAGGGTCAATGTTGATCACCAGTAGTTTTTAACCCTTTGCGATCATCAGGCAAACTATGCCCAACAGAACACTTTTATGAAAACAATTAAAATATAAAATTATAAATTATAAATAAAAAGTAAAGAATCAAAATATTGATTATTCAAATAATGTATCTGAACTAAATATCTGTTTCTGTAGATATTAGATTTGTCTACAATTTAAAAATAAGTCATAAGCTTCATTTATACATAAAATTAATACGATCGCAAAAGGTTAATTGTTCAGCTGAACATCGACAGTGAATACGACAACATGAGATTTTACTATTTTCAAATCTACAGTTTTATACGTTAATTGTAATCGGCGTACTTTTATAATGTATGTAAATCTTATATTATAAATATTTATATTGTAAACAATTATTAAAAATATAATTCATTGCCAAATCTCAGATATATAATTATTATGTTTATTGGTAACGTGTTACCGGCAGTCTAACGGAAGACGGATTAAGTGACCCGATCAAACTAAACTATGTAATAATTAAGTGAACTAACGAACCTAATCGAAACACAGCCTACAAAGTACAATGTATAATATAATGTTGAACATATCTTTACGTATAATCTCTGTTTCTAAGGCCGAGCGACGACTAAGTATGCGTGCACGGAAAAATTATTTAGAATGATATCCTTGATAATTCAAGTATTTGAAGATCATTGAAATTCGTGAGATATGCCTGTTTATAAATAATTAACAAAAGGTTGCAACTTTTTTACGAATATCTAAGAAATTATAGTAGATAGCGTGGTGCTCTTTAATCCTTTGACGGCACGTCATCCAAATTCGGGTGATGCCACTTTTTAGGAAAAAAATTGATTTTCTTGGTGAAGTGTTGAATAAACTGAATTTTGTTACATATAGAAGCATAATAGAGTAATAGTTATAAAGAATTTTAATTTGTCAGTTGCTGCTTAATTAAAAAAACTGTTTCGACAGCAGAGGAATTTTAATTGAAGTTGGAATTTTAATGGAATTTTAATTAAAGTCGAAAACTGCTAATGAATAATTTAATTATTTAAATAATGATTTACATAAAATATTTCCTTTTTTTCTAAGTATTTAAGACTTAGTAACAAGAGAAAGTGAAATGGAAAATTAGTAGAAATATACAATCCTTACTTGATTATTAGCAATATGAGACAGTCTCATATTACTGTCGCATTTTAAAATTGATTACTAAATGAAACTAAATAAATTTTAATTATTCCTTTAAATGCCATAAACGTAATTAAATAAAGAGCAGAAAAGGAGTTTTAGAATTCATCGTCCTTGTTCATTTTTTGCAGATGCAATAGACCTGATCGTGAATGACTCATTTTGGAGTTTTAACTTGAATCTAGTATAAGTCCTAATGTTCGTTTTATTTAACCTTTTGCATTGGGTAATCGCCTTTTAGGTGATATTTTAAATGCAATATCAAAATTTCTGAGTGCATAATGTTAAAAACGATCGTATCTTCACAACCTTTCTTTACTGCTAACTGATAATACAAATTTATGATCATTACACACAATGTATGTGATTGATTTTTTTGCACATCTGGTGTGTAAATAGTCTCGAATGTGCAACGCAAGTATAGGACCAAGCGAGGAAGGAAAAGCTTGGGTTTCCGGAGGCAAGCGACACACCAAGACACCAGACTCAACTTATCGATCCAACCACCATTTTGCACACCGCGAAACCCCTTATCCTGGGAAACGCAGCTTCCCTTCTGTTGGCTGGGCTGGGTTTTCGGTTACAAACTGTTTAACGCTAGAACTACCAAGCAATTGAACTGACTTTTTTGAATTTCTTTATAGAAACTATAAGCATGCTTTTATTAACACTTAGGCAACTGCACAAAACGCGATGACATTCAGCAAAATAAACCTGCGATAATAACGCAATTCAATGAAATAATTTAATATTGTGTCTTTTTCATTTCGTATGTTCTGCACCTTAAAATCGTGCGGCATTCAACGCGTTAATAGTGTACCAATGACGAAAGAACTGGTAACATTTTATAATTCGCATTAAATTGAACATCGAGTGTTTTGAGTTTGCATTAATCGAAACCTACCCATACTCATTTGTTATCAGTTTTTATATTTCACAATTATTGATATCTTGAAAGTGTTAAAAATTCATAAACGATTCTAAAAATAAAGAGTTTTACTTGAATGCTATAATGAATATATGAAGAAACCGAAAAAAGTTTATTGCTACAATTTTTATAAGGATTACACATTGATCATATTAAAAACTTGGTAGTTCTAGTGTTAAACATTTTAGTAATTTAAATTTAATCAATTATAAATTATTAAATCTTCATATTGTTCGACAACTTACCTATTTGCTTCATTGTCGATTAACAAATAAACTATATGGTCCGTGTCTCGAAGTTTTAAGGCGCTGGTTATGGGCTTGTTCAAACCCTGAGCCCTTGCCGAAGCCTCTCCCATGTCGTCCAGAATTCTGCTGAGTTGCCTCTGACATTCTCTGAAACAAGAATTTTCCAAACTTTATATAAACCTCGTAGCACGCTGTAGACGGTGACTCTTAAAACTTTTGGATCTTAAGTTTCTTAAGATCTAAACTCTTCTTCTTTCTAAGCTCTTTCTGTGTATATAGGTATTGTTTGACGGTAATTATTGGTAATAAATGACAATTGTGTAATAGGAAAAATATTTCTCAGCGTAGCAACTATAGAACGAATTATTGTGATCTTTCGAAAGAAAAACAAGGAAACAGAAGAATAAAAAGAAGATTAAGATAATAGGAAAAAGAACAAAAAGAAAACAGAAAAAAGAAAGAAAAGATTTTCGTAACCTGTGAACTGTGGAATTTGGTATTATAACTTTTGCAGTTTTACTTATTTGTTTGTACGAGCGAATAAATAATTCATTGTTCAAAAAATTAGTATCATCTTGGATTTTAAAATGACGTGTATACTCGTCAAACACAAGTTAACTGGATAACAATAAGTCCTAGTGCATACGAGCACTGCATTGATGCATCGCTATTGCTGCAGATGCCTAAAACACGGCAGTGATTTTATGCGAACCGCTCGTCTGCATCAGACATAAGACGATTTACAGTAAGTACTGCTTCAACGCTAAGCATTAAGCGTTTCGATTAAGGCGCAGCAAAAATAAGTAACTACTGCACGTTCGTTCTGATGAACGCAAACTTGCCAACTATAATTATAGTTGATACTTATAGTTGTCACTAAAAATTGCGTTTCGTACGTTCACTTAAATATACATTCTAAAATCCTAACACTAATCTCCTATAATGAGGTAAGCTATTGAAACAACTAAATTAAAGCAAACATGCTTAGAGATTAAAAAATTGTAGCATCTCTCGAAATCTCCTAAACAATTGCTACAATAAAATTGTAGCAATCTCTACAAAGATTTGAGAAATATTAAATTAATTTGATAATTAGATTTTTCGATTAGTAGTTTAATAAAATACAATTTCGAAGAAAGAGACGTTTGAATTCGTACATTTTGATTTAGAATGCAGGAAAGTCGCGCAATTTTAAGACTTGTAACCTTGCCAATTCTTCGAATTTATTTACAGCACTTGAAGATTGTATGTTTAAGATACAAAATTGAAAACAAATCTACAAAAGATTCAATTTCTTTTCCTTAGTAAAACTGAGAAACTATTTCAAATAAAGTAGAAATGTGTTATAGTGTAAAATGTTAATGCGCGTCGTAATGAATTACCGAAACAGCTTTCTCTAGACGAAGTACACGACACGCTATAATTATATGTATAGTTATATACTTTAAAATCATTTGTATACTTTTATTTCTATTTCATGGAAGATCTTATAGCAGAAACCTATCAAATAAAATTATTACTAAAATTCTTTTCACTCTAAATTACCTAGTATATTATACTTTGGCTCGTTCAATTTCTTAAATCGCTATAGAACGATATTTTCATCTTAATGAACTGTAAGGTCCCGTTTCATAATCTTGTCCACCGATGCATAGAAACAACTTCGAGTGTAACTAATGTTAATTATAATTGTTTCTTTCATATGTGTGTATCTTATAAAGTTTATTCACTGCGTACGAACATCGCTAACGGATCGGAACTTGATTTCTCCAAGCTTGGCATTCTACGTGTTATTCTTATTCTTTATGAGCTACGGTTGTTAATCATTTTACTATGATTGAAATACTACGTATGAGCAGTTTTTAACAGTTGATTATATCCAATTTTGATAATAAAATATCTGAATATATAATAATCAATATATAATCTTTTTCCGCACTAATTAGACTCCTAATCTTTATGTTAGATTATTTGAAATTTTTATCGAATAATTTAGAGACGAACGATACACTAAAATTTATTTCTCAGAGACTAGTTTGCTGAAATTTTTATTACATTCTTTTAAACAGTTTTACTTTTTTATCAAATGGAAAATCTGTAATATTTTCACGACATTTTATATATATACCTATATACAGGGTGTCTTAAGTATTTGGAAAAAGTTGTATCCCCTAAACAATTAGAAATAGAAACAAGTGTTATAAGTTAGAATTAAGGGGTATCCAATAAGACATAATTTGTAAATAATTCTATTTTTATTTTATTTTATTATTTAATTCTGTTTTTCGTTTTATTATAGTTTATTATAGTTTTGATTAGATCAGTAGTTGTAGTTTATTAAATCTCTATAAAAAAAATATTAACATAAGTACTTAAACAAGTATGTTAATAATTAACATTAGTTTCTCATAAAATGTGCAGAAGCGAAGAAACAATTTATCAAGTTTTTAACTACGTTATAAAATATGCGATCTTCGTTGTGCAGAGTTTCCCAAGAACTCTTTTATTTTATTATTTATATTTTAATTTATTTATAAATCGCAATACAAACATCATTGGCAAACTGAAGATACATTTTGATGACTTAATATTTACAATTCTTTGTTGGTTTTTTCCGTTCATTCCACGAAACAATCACCGGGGATCGTGTTGTCACGGGAATGCATCTTTTCTTCCAAGCGCGGCAGATTATAAAATCGATTACACAATCTGATTATGATTCGACGCTCCGAAATTAGCATCTGAGTCAGCGCTGTGGCGCTATATGTTTTCTCGCTTCGCATACCTGGAATTCTACGAGTTTGAATCCCGTAAAAAACGATAACAATTTCTATCAATTAAAATCGGATTGAAAAAAACAATTATTACAAAAGTGTTTATGAACGAAGTGTAACTGAAACTCGTTTATTATTGAAAATGAGGATATTAATCATAAAATGCAAAGAACATTTTTCAAGAAACTATATGTTTAAAAAATTATGTTTTTGTGGCAAACAACAATTATAGTGATTGAAAATTTTTGTACTGTTAATAATTATTAATGATTGGAAAAATTGATTTATATGTGTTACCAAAAGTAACACGTTTCATTTGTCTTATGAAGACTAAAACATTTCAATATACTACGAAAAAAGGCACGCTTCAGTGCATCTGTTGATAATAAGCATGTTTCATTTCAAACGTTGCAATGACGACTAACACGTTTCAATTAGGGTTAACAGTTACCCAACCGAATGGGGAATGAAGATTTCCTACTTTTCCCTTAGTAACGCATTGCCATTTATCTTGTTTATTTTTTTCGTTATTTAGTAAGCTTTCACCTGGGGATATTTGCAATTCATTAAGTATCTCTCTTGTTTTTATAAAATATAATTATTAATGAAATCTATTGAATGAATTCAAGTAATGTTTTTTTTTATTATTTAGTAAGCTTTCAACTGGGGATATTTGCAATTCATTAAGTACCTTTATTGCTTTTATGAAATACAATTTTTAATGAAATCTGTTGAATGAGTTCAATTAAATTTAATGAAAATGCTTGTAGTTATAATTTCTTTTCAGACGGTTGCCTAAGTGTTAAATATGATTCAGATAAAAAATACATGGGATATTATATTGCATAAAGTAATTCCAAGTGAAGTGGCTCTGCGACTGAGATGGCCCGATCTCATTTAGATTTTCAAATATCTAAATTTCCAATTGGTTTTAATGGTATATTGAATCTCGAACAGAGATCTATTTAACTATTCTTCATATATTTATTTACTTCTATAAATATATTTTTTTCTGTTAAATATTATGTAGTAATATTTATGATATAATAGTTATTTTTAAAAAAGTGGGTCATCTCTCCCCAACTTATCCGACATTAACACGTTAACTGCCACGGAAATCTTAAGTGTTTTACATAACACTTACTCTTTTGTAGCGAGAATCGGATGATATGTTAAATAGGAAAAAATAGGATAAATAGAAATAATTATTAATTATTTGGCGTCACAATTCTTACATTACGCCATTACCAACTTATTTACATTTTAACCTTTTGCAGATGAGGACTTTCCAAAGTATTTAAAATAATTAGCAGAGAAAGCTAACTACATAATACAACTGAACTCTTAAATGCTATCAAATGTGGTACTTTTCATGACTAAAGTAAACCATATTATCTTTCACAGCAAAGCACTGAAATTTATTAGCTTTCGTCGCAAGAAAACACGACACGCTATTCTTCGTCGTGATAAATGATAACATTCTATTTTTCGAGAACAAAATCGAAGCACACGTCTTTTCATGGCCAAAATGTGCAAAGCGCTAGTCTTCGTAAGAATAATGAAACATGCTACTTTTCGTAACGCGCATCGTAATAGTGTAAAACAAATATTGTTTCGCAATCCACCAAAAATAATAATCACTAATAAAACTCGTAGAATCCACAACAAAATAACGTTTTTGTTTTTATGAACGAAAGTTTTCTTGTTTAACCTTGAGAGGTCAATACTTTTTATTAAATACTCTTATAGTTGACATTCACACGTCCTTAAAATACTGAAATTTACTTTTTCTTGAATAAACATTTCTAAACAAATAAACGTCGAAAATTAACGTGTTACCGGTATTAGTGTTAAGTTTAAATATTAAATAATGTATTAACTATAATAAATGTAAGTAATTATATATTAAACTAAAATATTAAACTACTAAAACAGTTTATAAACTGATTCTTAGTGAAACACCCTGTATAACACTACTATCAAATTTTACTATACGATTGTCGAACAACCTGTTAATCATATTTTTATTTTCTTATCCATACCGTATCTTTATTTTCCTGAACTACGAGTATTCTTAATTTTTTTCATTTAGGAAAATCAAATTGAATACTGACTTTTTACGTTTTGCTTCTTAAGTAACTTCCCAGTTAAAGGATCGATCGTACTTTAGGTTAATATGTCGTAGGATTCGACCTAATTCTGTGACTGGAGTCGAGCCAATAGGCCACTTTGCAATGTAAATTGTGATGGATAATCGGGACGGTGTAATGTTTTCATGAGGCATTGAAACGTCGCCGAGCGTTAATAGATCATCTAGCGCTATGTAAAATGTTCCACATTGCAGCAAAGGCATATATTAATAACCAAAAGCAG